TAAATCACCCCCACAGACCCACACCCCCCCCCCCTCTCCATGGTCATATAAGTCCTGCGTACATGGGACATCCCAGGCACTTTATTACATTATAAAATATTACTTGTTTGTTGCATGAAACGTTATTTATTTTGCAGCTGCATACAACCACGGCAAAATTTGCACAAGACCCCGAGAAAGACTCTAGAAATGGGCCGAATGCGATCTGGTCCATGGAAGTAACTCCGGTAAGTTGTTTCTGTGGAAAGATCTAACCGAGATAAAGGAGGCACCGAGCATCAACACAAAGGAGTCTGTTTATGAAGCAGTAGTACGGCCTTACCAGCTGCTTAAAAAACAAAAAGGAGCACAGCACATTTAAAAAAGCATAGCCATGAATTTAGAAAGGAAGGAGTGCCTAGTCACATGACCTATCAGTCATTTGATTGGCCTCTCCTACAATCACAGAGTTCTGTCTGGTGCTTTAAAGGAGAACTATGAGGTGAGTGATTTTCACTCACCTCCTAGTTCTAGCCGACCTGTGACAATGAGACTGTCACATGTCGGCTCAGTAGATCGGGAGGTGAGTGAACACATGCCGGGTTCGTTCACCTCTCGATCCTATCACGGCTCTCTGCCGTGAAAGGGGAGGGGCTGGATTCCCCTCTCCCCGCTCCGATCTGCCAGCGCTGACTGGCGGAACGGACGGGGGAGGGGGCGGGTACAGCTGGCTCTGCCTCTAGATAGGCAGAGCCAGCTGTCACTCACGCAGCTGGGCGGATCCAGACATCGATGTCGGGATCCGCTCGGGCTGCGGCGTCTCAGTATACCGCGAGCTGCAGCTCGCTGTATACTGAGCCTAGGGTAACGGGAGGACGCTAGTTTGGGTCCTCCCGTTACCCTAAGGAGAACTATGGGGAAAAGCCCTAACCCCATAGTTCTCCTTTAAGCAGAGACAAGTCTGTGACCCGCCGCAGGCTTCACACCTCAGCCTGTATTTTATGAATGGGCCGTAAAATGAAGGCTGCAGTGTCCAGTAATACTGTGGTGTATGATGGAGAGCTGATAGCAGTATTTGCTCTCCATTATAAATAGGCCCCTCAAAGACCGATATTATGGAATGTTACGAATGTGGTATTTAAGACCCCCGGTAACAGTGTCCCTACGGTACTGAAATTCGAATCTATTTGGTTGGAGTTTAGTATTTTGATACTAAACGGGAAAATCAAAGAAAAAAAAAAGTGTGGGGCCCACCCCCCAATTCATACCAGACCTGGCAGAGGTAGCAACTAAAGATAAGCCCCTTGCCCACAGACCCCAACAACCACCGGGCCAGCGTTGTGGGGAAGAGGCCTTTGTCCTCATCAACATGGGGACCCTGCTCATGTTGAGGACAAGTGGCCTGGTGTGGTGCAGGAATGGGGGAGCCACACGTTTGTGTCCTGCTCTGCCAGGCCGCTGCTCAGATTAAGGGTCTGGTAATGGATTTTGGGGGACCCCCCCACGCTTTTTTTATTTTCTTGGCATGCGCTCCCCCATAAAATTCCTACCAGACCTAAAGGTTCTGTTGTAAATTTGTGGGGGGACTACACGCTAGGGTTTTTTTTAAAATTGTCATGTTTAACAATGCATCTTTTCATTCCGAATGCCATTCAGACAAAATTCGGATGCATCTGAATTTTCGGAATTTACCAATTTTCGTCTGAATGTCAATTCGGACAAAAAACGAATGCACCAGTCTAGCCCTTAGGTTGTTAGGAGGAACTATTGTTAAATAACATCTGGAAGAACCTTCTCCACTGTATCTCTCTACAGGCAGAAAGCTCCGAGATGAAAGCGTTACAAGACAAGCTGGCGGCCGCCAATTTAAAGCTATCGGAATATCGGAACCAAATCCAGACCACTAAACAAGAGCTGAAAATGGCTCACAAGGTATATCGCAGGGTCACTCCTCTGCGTGGGGCAGTAGATTTGACAGACTTGTTGTTTGAAAACATCTTCCACCAAGTGCATTGTCAAGTCCATGCTGGTTTTGGGTTATTTGCAGTAATATTGTATGCATTTCCTGTATACAAGTAAAGGTATGATGGTCCTTTGTAATACCTATTTAGCAAAATTTTGGAACATATTAGGTTCCTTCCTTATACGTTATACAATTCAATTCCAAAAGTTTGTATCTTTAATAACTTGAGCTGACCAATAAAAGGTATCATTTAAACTCCACACTTTTTGCATGTATTGGCTATTGTTTTG